AAAAATGAACTACTAAATTCTTTATAGCTATCGTCATACCTCACCAACAAGTTCGTCCTTATACTACATTTTTAATTTGTGACCTTTTGAATATATCAGGGTAGAGTCTGACAATTTCCTATTCCATTATATCTCTTATATACTCAGATATTGCAGATACATCAAATCGCTAAGGTTTTGTAGGCTATATCAAACTTTTTCTTTCTTTAGTTCCAAGTTTTAAGCTGGTAGCTACTTGTTTTGCTGTGTTACATACGAAGAATCGATCGTTGTCATTTATGACGGCAAAAAAGGCCTGCTATCTCACGCACACTTGATGCACTCAAAGAATAGCCAGCACATCTTTCCTCCATGATGTATGAGGAGTCCAAAAGCTATTACAAGTAGCTGCAAGGTTTATGAAGTGCCCAGAAAAAACTGTTCTACCTTACTTTCGCTGTACAAACCAATGGAGAAATGAAGTGGGCGTGGTCTCAAAGCTACTCATAGGAGGGCCACGTTTTCTCCCATATCTAGCTTGCTTCTTGGAGAACAAGCTTAAAAATTATAGGATAACTGAAGTAGAACTTACAGAAGACATTTATGAAGTCAAAATGGTAAGTTTGTGTTTTCAAGCCTTTCTTTTGCACTTTAGTCGGTGGGTGTGGTCTTGAGGCTTTTCTAGTAGTCTCTTTCTTTAGCCTTGTGTCTTGACTTCTGAAGAATGGAAAGCTACAAATCATTTGCAAGACATTGTGTACAGACATGCACTACTATGTATTACCACAATTACAAATCCTTTTGTCTATTTGTGTTTATAACAGAAATTTTAAAAGACTTTTCTGCTTTCTGACAAAAAGTAAACTTATACTAAAAAGTTTAGCATTAGAACAGGCACCTCAAATGTCCCTTTTTCCCATTTTAAAATAAACTTAACATGTCTAATTGTACTGTTCTGATAATAGGTACTACACTTGCAGCTATTTCATTGAATGAAACATCTGACCAAGGGATGATTGAACTATTTTTAACCCAACCGTGAAAGGGTTAATGGCTTGTAAATGGCTAAAAATTTTTGTGTCTCCTGCTTCAACTAAATGCTCAACTGCATTCTTAACTTTAAATTCTTCATATAAGAAAGATAATACATCTATTGTATCTCTGTTATCAGCATTTTTATCTAAGACATTCATGTATTTGTACAGTGAACTTGTACACTCAATATTTCTTGTTTCAAAAGTGATGGCAGTGAAAGTAATTTGTTGCCATCTGAATAATTGTAGTTGTCATAGCATTTTTTATGCCTATATATGAGAACCATAGCTTTTGTTATGTGTAAATTGCATCCATGTGATTGTCTGTAGGTTGGAAATGAGAAAGGGATGCATTTTTTAAGAAAAATTTTGATTTTCACAAAGCTGCTGATGGTAATGTTTTGGTTCTGTGAATAGTGCTGTTGGAGTAGTTACAGAAAATTGTTTAAAGGATTGTGCTTCTGAGAGTGATCTACTTCTCCTCTTGTACTTTTTGTACTGGGTACTACAAATATTTTTTATAGGAGAAGGTATAAGATGGATTTTTCGTTTTCAATGAGATGTATTGGACACAAGAGGTTGTACTGCTTGTATGGTAGTACCGTGCCAACTATGGCTTTGATCTTCGCAATTAACTAAAGTAGAACTTTGCAAGTAATCAATATTGTCCACTGTAACTACTATAATGTGTTTTTCTGTAGGCAAGATGCTAGACCTTTCTCTAAATGTCTCTCAGTTTGATGTTGCACATAGCATTTGTGACTATCTATTGATGCAACAGCTCTAATATTGTTTAGTATACAAACCAATTCACTGAGAGAGTCTATTACATCTGTTGAGTGATGTGTAAGGTCATGGAACAATTTCTATTTCTACAAAACATTAACACACATAAGCTGTAAATATGTGACAACTTTTTGTTGTGTGTAATGGAAGTGTTACATTTCCCTTTAGTAATATTAATAATGAAATTCCATAGCTTAGGATACATTTCAGTAACAAATAAGTCAGGATCAAAAGATGCAATATCAAATGGTGTATTTGCATCTTGTTGTATGAACCTGTTGCAATCTACATGTATTAGAGTGCTAACCTCATTTGACACTTGTTTTATGCACTCATCTTTTTTTGTGTTGCCTTTATTTCCAGACATCAAGAATACAGCAACTGCGCTTTCCAGAGTGTGATAAAGTATTTGAGAGAGTAAGTAGAGGATCAACGCCACGTCTGTAAAGGATAATGCCTTGAGAACGTTGTTGGCAACTGCAGATAACATGTATACCCAAACTTGTTATAAGTTTGGTTTATAAGAAATTTTTTGGGAAGTTAGTCGTTCTTTCAGCAATGCTTGTATTTCCCATTCATTTAAAGCAATTTGAATGATTTCCTTTTACTAATAATAATAATAACTATAATAATAACAATAATAATAATAATAATAATAATAATAATAATAATAATAATAATAATAACTAATTAAAAGAAAGTCCCAGTGGCAAAGTGTCCCTAATGAGGCTAGCATTCCCCGTCTGAACAGCAACCGAAAGACACTGGAGCAAGTAGCTGGTACTGTTGTCCTCTCAAGTATAGTAGCGAATTCTGCGGCCCAGATGGTGTACTAGCTGGCGAGACCGAGGACCCAATGTTCCCAATGACTCAATGGCATGAGGACTGAAAATATGAGTGGTGGCCAAATTTAAATATATAGTCACCTTGTGTGACTCTGCCAAAGCAGCCACAGCTCCAGTAGCAGTGATGGCTTGCGACCAGTAAGAGGTAGCCAAGGAGTCTGGGACAGTTGCGTCCCATACCAATGGCTTACCTCTTTCTCAAGGCACCAGGGTCGTACCATCTGGCCGTTTACCATCTGAATGGGAAAGACCAGATGGCTCCAGTGTAGATGGAATGCCAGCAGATGACAGTGCCCTATGAAGGACCTCATTGACTACTGCATGACAATGGAATCAATGGTTCCCTCACAAGTCCAGACTATCAACAGATGCACCACACAGCCTACAGCTATGTGGGACACAAACAAAGGTGCAAAGCTGCACCTGTCTGTCATCCAACCGTAGCCCAAGGGAGGAAATTGGAAGAGCCTGCAACCATTCTCCAGATTCAGGGGCTGAAACAGCATTCAACCTAGTTAGAGCAAGGTCATCCTCAGCAGAGGACAG